TGAGGCCCTCCTTGCTCTATCACAGCCAGCAGCAGCTCAGGGTGAGTCCAGGTGGGGCTGCTCTGGGCTGGAGGCTTACACCTGTTTCCCTTCTCCAGTGAGGAGCGAGGCCATTTGTGTTTGGATCCTGGCTTCCCCCATCCTGACCTGGCTCTGGCTAGCACCTTGGCCTCAGCCTCCACGCCAAGTCCTCCCCTCCATCTCTGTGGTCTGCACATGATCCAGTTGCCACCACAGCCCCCACGTGCCATGGCCTTCTTAGCCTACCCCCACATGCCATGGCCCCTGCAGCCCTGCCTTCCCCATGCCAGTGGCCACATGCCTTGTGAGCCTCTGCTGCATCTCTGCTAACATCCCATCCAACTCCCATTCCTGCTTCTCCCAGGGTTCCCAGACATAGCTCAGAAATGCTCCCTCTGGGCATCTCTGCCTAGTGTAGAGCGGGTGCGAGGGGTAACTTGGGGGCACCTGGGGCAGATGTAGGGGGTGATGGGGAGGTCTCCAGTGGGGTTGAGCCCCACTGTTGGGGGGCTGAGGGACAGATGGGACCCAGACCCCACAGCCAGCAGTCAGAGCCCAGGGAAGGCATCTCATGCTCTCCCCCTCTCCCCTGGGCAGATCCTGGAGAACTATGAGAGGGACGAGAGTGACCTAGACCCCTCGGGGGACTTCATCCCCGTCCTGTTGTATGACTCGCTGCGGGCTGAGTTCGAGCACCTGAAGGGGCAGCACGCTGATGCACAGGCCACGCTGCAGATGCTGGAAGGTGGCAAGACCCCCGGGGCTGCTGGCCAGCCTGGCACGGGAGCCGGCCTGGAGCAGCTGAAGGCCAAGTACGAGGCGAAGATCCAAACCCTGGAGGAGGCGCTGAGGAAGGCAGTGAAGGGCCAGGCTGGGGCCGAGGAGGAAGGGACTGGCAGGGAGCGAGGCGATGGCGACGAGGGCCTAAGGGCAGCAGCTGGGTCAGCGCTGGCCAAGGAGCTGGCCCAGACCCGGGAGAAATACGAGGCAGCCTTGGCCGAGGTGCAGCGCCTGCGGGAGCAGATTCAGCTGGGCATCTTGTCAGTGGAGGACCAGGACAGTGCTGAGGCCATGGACAGCTCCCTCAGCGAGCTAGAGACTGTGCGGGTGGCACTGCACAAAGCCCAAGAGGACCTGAGGGCCAAGGAGTGGCGGGTCAAGGACCTGGAGGGGCGTCTGGAGAGCCGGGCAGGAGCTGCCAGCCCGACCTGCTCCATGGGGGAGACTGACGCCAACCTCAGCCAGTCACTGGAGGAGGCAGCCAAGGAGAAAGCGGCGCTGCTGGAGCGGTGCCGGCGGGCCGAGGCAGCCGTGGAGGAGCTGAGGAGGAACGTGGAGGAGAAGAGCCGTGACTTCCAGCGGGCAGTGGGCCCGGCAGATGGGCGACGGCTGGAGGAGGAGAACCAGGAGCTGCAGCAGCAGCTGGGTGAGCTGATGCGGCAGCACGGTGAGGTGAAGGCCCAGCTGGGGCAGCTGCGTGAGGCTCTGGCCCACAAGGACCAGGAGCTCGGGGCCCTCAAGGAGCAGCTGGCCGCCAAGCCCGTGTCACTGCAGGAGCACGAGGACGTAGTGGACCGGCTGAGCACCTCGCTGGCCCGTGCCAACCAGCAGCTGCAGGAGCTGCGAGAGGAGCACAGCACCAGTCAGCGCGCGCTGGCCCAGCTGCAGAGGGAGGCAGACGGTGCCCGGCGGGACTCAGTGCCCCGAGCCGAGCACATCCGCACCACAGCTGCACTGGAGGGCAGCTTGCAGGAGATCATGGGCAGGGCCCAGCAGCTGGAGCGGGAGCTGGCAGCCAAGGGCAAGGAGGCGGCACAGCTGCGGGGGGAGCTGGCCAGCGCACGGGAGGGCGCGGTGCCACGGGCAGAGCATGAGCGGGTGCGCAGTGGCCTGCAAGCCGAGGTGACCGCTCTGAGCCAGAAGCTGAGTGAGCTGGGCCGCAAGCATGAGAAGACGTGTGCCGAGGTCTTCCAGGTGCAGCGCGAGGCCCTGTTCATGAAGAGCGAGAAGCACGCAGCCGAGGGCCAGCTGGCCACCGTGGAGAAGCAGCTGCAGAGCCTGCGGGCCGAGTCTCAGCGCGTCCAGGAGCTGCACCGCCACATCGAGGACTCAGCACGCCTCGTCAAGGACAAGGACAGGAAGGTGGGGACAGGGTAGGGGGAGAGATGGGGGTCTGGACTACATTATGAAGGGCTAGGGGCAGCTGGGTGTCTGGGGATCTGACCAGAGTGATGAAGGATTGAAGGGGAGATGGGAGTCAGGAATCGAGCCAGAGCCACAAAGGGTAGGTGGTGATGGTGGTCTAGGCTAGATCCACAAAGGGTGGGAGGTGGCGATGGGGTCTAGGGATCCAGCAAAAGCGAGGCAGGGCTCAGACATGTCTGAAGTCTCTACCTTCTTGGCAGCACAGATCTGTGCCTGGCTGGTGACCAGCTTCGGGCCCTGGAGACCAGCAGAAGGGGTGAGCTCTGGACTCAATGTCCCAGTTACCGCCAGGAGTGGCAGCAATGGAAGCATTGGCTCCAGCATCCCATGGGCGGCAGTACAGGGATGGGGACGCTGGCATGCCTGTGCCTGGGGGGTTGTAGTGGTCCGAGACAGGGGGCTGCTGTCCTGCACAAGTCGGACCTAGCGGCCCTGGGGCAGCCTGTGATGGCTGCATGGTGCTGCCGACAGATCACGGAGCTGTCAAAGGAAGTCTTCAAGCTGAAGGAGGCATTGAACGGGCTGTCAGAGCTGCCCACCAAAGCAGGAACCCTGCCAAAGGCACAGCAGGGCCAGCTGGAGGCAGGGGTGCTGCAGGGCAGGATCAAGGCCCTGGAGGAGAAGCTGGCGGTGAGTACCCAGGGGCACCTGGAGACCAGGGGGTGGGCAGGGATGGAGGGAGGCCTCCATCCCGCAGCTATCACCTGCGGGCCCCAGGTGCCTGGCAGAGCCACGCCGGCTGCAGGTTGGATTCTGGTTGAAACCCGGGTGCTGAGCTTAGGGCATTGGGATCCGCAGACAGTGCGGAGTGGACACGCTGCAACCCCTGCCAGCCTCAGCATCCAGGCAGGGGTAGCCCCCCGTGGACAGCGCTGTGTCCGGCACAGGGGGAACCAGGCCCGAGGGCATGGGCTGGTCCAGCCGGCCCCACAGTGCGACTCTGGGCTCCCTCTGCCTTGCAGGACACGGAGAGGCACCACAGCAAAGTGGTCTCACTGTATCGGGGGCACCTGCTCTATGCCGTTCAGGTCAGTGTGGGGGCAAGGGGGGCTGAGGCAGTGGGCACAGGGGGTACATGCATGAGGGGGTGCAGGTGCAGGTGGATGGGCGGGCAGGGATCTGGCTGCCTGTTGGGCTGGCAACGAGGCCGGTTGGCACCTGCCGGAATTACATCTCTTGCCCTCTCCCTGCCCCTCTCCCCTGAGCTCCCTGGCGCCGAAGGATGGGACCTTGGACACGCCATCCTCACGGGGGAGGGGGCCGGGCCCTTGTTCCCAGGAGCTGGCACCGCAGGCCGGAGGACTGGTGGAAGGCCCCCCTGCGGGGTGGACAGGCGCCGGCATGGCCCTGCTGGGCAGAAGGTCACTCACGTGGAACGCCGGAGCCCCCGAGTCATGTGTGTGCGTGTGCGTGTGCGTGTGTGCACGCGTGCCCGCCGGCTTAGGCATGTGCAACGCCTGCCTCCTCTGTCTGTGGTCTGCCGCATGGTGAAGAGCAGGCCTGTATGGGGCCGTGGCTGTGTGTGCTTCTGCAGGGAGACCTCCATCTGAGCCCCCCCCGCTCCCCAGGCCAGATCCAGGACCCCAGCCCTGAACCCCCCCAACCCTAAACGCCAGGGCAGAGGCCAGATTTGCCTCTCCGAGCCTGTGATAGCAGGTGTAGGGGCTGGCTGTGCCCCTGACGCTGGCTGGGCTGGGGGCCGGAGCAATGCCCACTCCAGGGCAGGGGGCCGGGCTCTGGCCAGCTCCGTGAGCACCTCTTCCTTCTGGGAAATGGCTGTGTCTGGTGCCTGCAGCGATGGCTACCTCTGGGACCAGCGATGTCCTGCCCTGACTCAGCTCCTGGGGCTGGCAGTGGGGCTGAGCCAGGACAGACATCTCCTGTGGCCCCCGGCTTGGGGGAGGCTGGTGTGACCCCCATCTCCTTACAGGGCCACATGGACGAAGATGTGCAGAGGCTCCTGGGCCAGATCCTGAAGATGCAGCGACTGCAGGAGCAGGGCAGATGAGCACTGTGGGGTCAGCGATCCCAGCCCGGCTCTTGGAGCCTGGGCAGGGACACCCCAAGCCAGACAATGGTGGATTCACACATGGGACTAGCCGGACGCTGGCGTAGGCCAGCCTGGTGTGTGGCTGGGCCCTGTGGCTAGTCGGCCCTTAGTGCACGCCCTGTCACCAAGCCCCAGGCACATGTGGTACCTCTGCTTGCCCGTCCCTGGGCCTGGGCCTGTTCCAGCAGGAGCCCAGGCAGGGGTGGGTTAAGCTTTGCACCTCATAGCAGGGCCATGTCCAGCTCTCACCGCCTTCTCCATCCATGCCCTTACCTTGAGGCCTCTAGAAGGGCTGGGGGGCTGCTGGCTCCCAGCCGAGCTG